ATGCCTATTACTTCTCTTGCTTGTGGTGATGATCATTTGATCTTGAACAAAATGACGGTATGCTGTGCAGTAATTAATTTGTGTCCACCAATAATGCCTTTGACAGGTGCATAGAAAATGCTGTTAATGCATTTCTTCGTGATATAACTTTGTTTTAAATTATTGTATAAATGATTTCATTTTCCTCTGCTCATTGTATTTTTTAGGCTGTCTTGTTTTAGCCTTTAATGTTTATTTTATTATTGTTTTTATTTGTATGTTATATTTCTGTTGTGATCTTGACCAAAGTTATATGGAATCACCCCTTAGATGTCCCCTTTCTAATAAAAAAGAATCATAGAAATCGGACAACTTGGTAAATAATTATCGCAGAACATAGGTACATAAAAAAATATTCCGATGAATTGAGAATCTCCTTTTCTTTTGAACTCTGTTACAAATGGAGCTTCACATGTGATATATATGATTATTTACAATAAAAGTTTGAATTTGACACAAAAATTAAACAATGCAAACTATGAACCACTGCACTGTTGACAAAACCATGGATCTTGGGGAATCTGGGGTAGTCCTACACATTCTAAATGAAACCACTGAACGGCACATGTGTCATTTTCACATTTTAACATGTTTTGGTCATTATTTATATTACAAATACAGCACCTTTGAGATAGATGTTTACCTTTGGTAAAATACCTTCCCAGCTCAGGAAGTATCACTTTTTGATGAAAATTACAGGCTTTCGAAAAATTGAGCACCCAGAAATTATCATGAAAAAAAAATTCTTTCTTCAAAAAATCCAGTTGGTGACCATACTACAAAATCATAGTATGCTGTATTTGTCACTTAATTTAACCTGAACTTGGTAATAGTACATGTGATTCCTTTTAAGAAACCCATTTGTTCCATCACTTGTTAGACAAGCATTTTTAAGATCTAAGAATTCGCCCATGTTCAAATTTTTAAATAAATATGGACACTTCACCTCAACACACCCACTGCTACAACAGTCACAGGACACCATGGCATCTGGAGAAGCAGCAAGGAAGGAATTGTTGACATCAACACACAAGCCAATCTTCTCCATTTTACATTTTGTATGTGTCTGTATGTGTTGCTTGTGACATAAAAACAACATTCAATGGATATCAAATGGTTTTAACAAGTGACAAAGAAGGTTTCAAAATAAATGTATGACAAACCCTCTTAAAATTGGAAGCCGTTATGCGCCCAGCCCTTTGTTTGAACCAATCTGAGGATTTGTTTTGTTTTACTGTTGCCAATAAAATATTTTTACATTGGTCCACACTCAATGTTTGGTCAATCTCAAGTGCCAGAGCATATAAATGTTCGTAGGTGTGTACTTCATTTTCTTTTTTATATAATGTATCATACAGAGATGGTAATAAAGATCTCTGGATATTTCGACATAAATCTGATTCGTAAGGTTCAACTACACGCATAATTGCTGCCTCATCACCACCTTCTCCCATTTTTTCTAAATAATTTGAGAGTTCTTCACCTTCAATGGTCGGAATTGTACTTAATAAAGAAATTCTTCCAGGTGTTAGCTTTTTCAGCTTCATTTCACCAGGCTTAATAATAGAACATTAGAAATGGATGGAATCAGCCATTTTGCCTTTACGTCTGTACAGGAAGAATTACTCATAGATCGGTGAATATGTTCCAAACCAAAAAGTAGATCTGCAACGTGACTGCACACTTCAGAATTGTCTGCCATATCGCGATTTCGATTACCGATGAGGGCGTTTGCGTATGTAAACAAACATGGAGGAAAGCGAGTAATCCTGTTGTTTACGTTATATTGTTTCCCAGTATTTCTACCTGCCTTGGCTATTAAAATGTACTTACCTATGTATTTTTGGACTTTAAAGCGATCACAAAATGTTATTAGTTATACTTTGTTAGAAGCTGTTGTTAGAAGTGATCGTGTTTTAAATTTATTTTATTTTATAAAAATGAGTGACAAACGTGAAGTTTTCCTTACGTTAGCTTCAATTTTTGGATATCTTGGTGCTAATGCAGAGAGTAGATGCATTACAGAAGGTGAGCAGTTACTAAATGCAAACCACATAATTTTAATTGGTACAACATCCAAAAATGAGGAATATGTGAAAATATTAGCCCTGTGCCTACAAACCAGTGCAATCAAAAGCAACACTCATGAAATAAATGGGAAATTTATTTTTAAAGAAAATAATATTCTGGGGATCAGCGAGTTTACATGCACCTGTAAAGCTGGTTTAGCACCTGACGGTTCCAGAATTGAAAATTTTCATAGGTCTGCTCCTTCATACAGGCACTATTCAACTAACACGAGTAAATGACTACTGGAAAACGGACCCGCTCTTCAATATACCAATTTTCCGGAAGCATATGTCAAGAAATAGATTTCTTCTCATCTTGAGATATCTACACTTTACATCTGCCAACACTAGAGCTGACGATCGTTTAGGCAAAATAAGATCTGTGGTTGACTTTTTCAACACGAAGATGAACAGTCTCTATTACCCGGGAAAAGAATTGTCGTTAGACGAATCTATGGTGCTGTGGCGGGGGCGTTTACTGTTCAAACAATATATACAAAATAAACGCCACAAGTACGGGATTAAGCTTTACATGCTTACAGAACCTGATGGATTGGTGCTGAAATTCCGCGTGTATCAAGGTTCATCAGATGAATATAGCGGAACTGGACATACAACCAAAGTAGTTATGCATTTATTTGAAGAAAAGTTAGGTCAAGGACACGCAGTATACCTCGACAACTTTTACAACAGTGTTGACTTAGCTACAAGGCTGCTGGAAAATGACACCTATTGCACCGGAACCCTAAGAAGTGACCGTAAGCACAACCCACAAGACGTCATGAAGGCGAAATTGAAACGAGGAGAAAACGAATCAAGGTTCTCTAATGGAATTCATATTGAAAAATGGAAGGACAAACGCGACGTCAATTATATAAGCACTGAATTTGGGAATGAAACTGGCATTTTCAAGAATAAGAGGGGAAAAGAAACTGAGAAACCTTAAGCCATTCTAAATTATAATAATTATATGTCAGGAATTGATCGCCAGGATCAAATGTTGTCGTACTATCCTTGCAATAGGAAAACGATAAGGTGGTACAAAAAACTTTTCATTCATGTTCTGCAAATGAGTTTGACCAATGCACACTATCTACATAGAAAGTACTCTGGTGGTCATCGCCTTCGTTTTTATGACTTTCGACTGGAGGTAATTGGAGATCTGTTAGGCCCAAGTGATGATGTACTTGTCCATCCTCCTAATCAAAAAAAGAATCCGAACGCTAGACATTGTCTTTCAAAAATTGAAAAAACCATGAATGAACTAAAGAATGGGCGTACTGAATCCAAAAGAGTGTCTAGGAAGGAATGCAGAACCTGTAGGAAAAACAAAATAAGGAAGCAGACAACGTTTGAATGCAAAGAATGCCCTGGGAATCCTGGATTTTGTGTAAAGTGCTTTGAAGACTTTCATAAAAAAATGAAGTTTTTGACAGTAGGTTATTTCTTACAAATTTTTTTTGCTATGAGCAAACTTGTTTGTTTTTTTTTTTCAGTTTCTTGGTTATTTGTCTTGTAATCAAGCACGTGATTTTCTTTTTTAGGTATAATATCTTGTTTAGTTTTTGGGTGATATTCCTTATTTTTTTGCTTTGAGAAAAATTATTTATTTTGTTTTGATTTTCTATGATTATTACCCCTAAACCAAATATGTTTTTTTTTATAAATATATACCCACCGTTATCTCATTATCAGTTTAGTTCTTTTGTGTTTCTTATATACAAATAAAAGTATTTTCAATAATTAGAGTGTGTTTTCTTTGTAATATTGCTAAAGTTTATAGCGACTCCGATCGGAGTGTTCGGCATCCAGTGAAAATATTAATGCCTGACGCCGACCACTCCGATTGGAGTATATTTTTTTTTCGCTAATTTGAGGCAAAAAAAAAAATTAAAAAGTTAATGAAACTATAATTTACATGATTTATGGCATAAATAAAGGCAAATAAACAAATAAAACTAAACGGCGTCTGAGAGTGTCTCAAAAATATGAGCGGCAGTCAACCTGTTAACAAGGAGTTTGCCACAAAAATGTTGGATACAATAACATGTAAATATTTTAATAATTTATTACATTTTGTTTGTACAAATCGTACTTAAAATTTTTGTATTTAGTGTTTATAATTTAGATATGTATTTAATGTTATTTAGGTTTAAGGTTTATTTTGTGAATGCCTAACCTAAAATAAGACAAAAATGTGTAGAAAAAAACTTAAAACATTATTACCTTGACAAGTATAACAAGATGTTCTCCAATTATTCTTGTTTCACTGTATAACCCTAATTTTGTCTTTATATCGAAACGCAATGTCTTTATTGTCTAGTTATAATGATAATAAACAATCACTTTTTTTTAAAACATCCATTTGAGCCATTAATAAAATGTTGCACAGTTACCATTACACACACAAAAAGTTAATTGTTCGAAAATACCTAACTACAAACTATGAATACCTAACTATAATTAAAAGAAGTTCTTAAATCACAAACAATAAAACAAATATTTAAAAAAAATAACTAAAATGCACACTTTTAAACGCAGTTTAACTCAACAAAACATCAAGAATACTATGTTTGTTAATGTTAACTATTCTTATGTGTATCTACAGGCAGCCATTTTTAAAGGGCCACGGCCACGTGTTCTGGGCAGCCTAATTGTCACCATTAATTATTAGAAATGAGAGGTAAGGCATATAATTTTAATAATTGCTATTATCTTTATGTTTGTTACCATGACATGCGCAAGGTGGAGAATTTTATTGGCAATGCTTACGTGTTAATAATTCTTATTTTACGTTAATTTTTAAGAAATATCCAGTAAGACAATGTTAACGACTTAAATGAATCGATAAATGATTTCGACAATCTGGAAACTGACGACTTACTATTACAGGCAGATGATGAACAAATGAACCAATTAAAATCCTTAATCAATGAAGATAATTTACCTACGGAAAACGCGTTAGATCAAGACTTTGTAACTGAATCAGAAGTTGACTTAGTCGTGAAAAGTTCAGGACTTATGCCTCCGACAGAACACATAATAGCCGATTCCGATACAGAAAATTCTGAACCTAATAAAAAACGCGATGACGATTACAAACGAGAAACAGGAGTGGGATTCTCATTGAGTGTTTATGCGATTCTCAAATGATTTCGATCTCGATTTCATCGAAGACAACTGTCAATTTTAGTCGACAACTTTGATGGTACCAAGGAAGTAAGTTTAACACTATTAACCTCACAATTTAAGCAATTTTCTCGTCTCAGAGTTTGCATTTGTTTAGGATCAGAAAATAAATTTAATGGAAATTAGTAATACCATAAGTTCAAATTTAGACGAACTTAATAATACCATAAGTTCAAAATTTGATGAACTTATTGCAGTATTAAAAAGTAAGGGAAATCATCAATCAAAAGAAAGTGTTTTTAAACGCAAGACAACTAAAGATGTTTAAAGTTTCTCCCATATTAACTGAATTAAAAATGTTTTCTAAAGTTTTTATTTTTATTTATAATACATATATGCTTATATCAAAATAAAGAACAGCCACAGTAAGTACATTTATTAATATAAAACTACAGTGTTTATGTAAAATACAAATCTATAATATCCTGTTGAACTCGCCTTCCCTCATTTAACAAATTATTATTATTGTTATTATTATTTTTATTATTATGGTTTAAATGGTCATATTGGGTTCGTGTTGTATATTTTAATTAAAAACTACATTATTTTCGATACACATATTGTGCAAAACAACACAGGCATTAATAATTGACCCAATAACCTGTGGAGAGTACCTTGCTGACCTTTCTTTTAAAAGACACCTAAATCTTGTCCTCAACAAACCTATGTATATCTCTACACAAATTCTATCTGAGCAGTCTCTTATATCTAGATTCAGGTGAATTTTGAGGTGGCTAATGTATAGGAGTCATTAAAAATGGTTCAAGTGGATATTCACCGTCTCTAAGACCTGCTGCATATTCTCTTAAGAGAAATTTATGAACCTCTGATTGCCTCCAAATAAATGAATCATGACTAGAACCTCCATAGTTTGCATTTACATTCATAATTTTTATAAATGAATCGCAAATAATTTGAACATTTAAGGAGGTCCTTTCGCCACCAATGTTAAAAAATATTAGATTATGACTAAAATTCATTTTTTTCTAATAGTTGAATTCCTTATTAATCTAATAGTGAACTTTTAACTATACCTTACCGTGCAAATTTTTGAGAATTTTTTTTTTTAATGTGAATATTTGTACAGTGTCTTACGAGAAACAATTTTCGAATTATAATTAAGTATACTAATATTTATTGATTAGTTTTTGAAATATTTAGGTTTTGTTTTTTACAATAAAATATATAGGTCACCGTGGAATTTATTGAGAAATTAATATTAAAAATCACAAAAAATTTTCAACTAGGTTACTTGAAATTTTTTTTATATTAATTTCTCAATAAATTCCATGGTAAACTATATTTTATTGTAAAAAACAAAACTTAAATATTTCAAGAACCTTACTTTTAGTTTTTTTCTACTCCATCTAATCAATAAATAATAGTATAATTCGAAAATTGTTGTTAAAGTCTTACTTTCTCGTAAGACACTGTACAAATACATTTAAAAAAAATTCTCAAAAATTTGCCCGTTAAGGTATAGTTAAAAGTTCACTATTAGATAAATAAGGACTTCAACTATTAGAAATAAAATAAATTTTAGTCATAGTCTAATATTTTTTATTTAACATTGGTGGCAAAAGGGGTGGCGAAAGGACCTCCTTAATGAGTGAAATCCTTTTCTGTTAATAAAATTATGTTCTTCCTCTTTTGGCTTTAAAATTGCAATGTGAGTGCAGTCTATAGCACCAATTATACCTGGAAAATTAAAGCGTCTCATAAATGCTCCTTTCACCACATTAATTTCCCTTCTATCAGTTGGAAATTTAATTGAATTTTGGGATAAATGAGTATCAATTGCCACTGCAACTTCATTAATGCTTCTAAAAATAATATAGTATTTTCGGATTTAGAATGATCGGAAACGTGAAAAAAGTTTTAAAATATAGGGGTAAGAAAATGTTTTCGTTGACACGAATGCAATACTGAGGCCCCAAAGGAAGGGTTTTAGTAATATCAAATTCCTTCAAGGAAGAACAAAACTTTTTTTCCTGTTTACAGTAAATCATTTTTTAACATATTGCGAATAAAACCATACCATATAAACTATATAAAAAGATCTTTTGTTTCTGTAACAATAGCCAAAGAAAACCGAGGTGGCGATAGGAAAAAATTCAGCTTTGCATCTCGTAAAGAAGCGGTACAAAATTTTAACCTTTGGAGACCCATCACTCCAGAGGAAAAATTAAGCAGCGTATATATTTAGCACCTGAATTAAACATAATCAAGATGTATCGAATGTATCACGATGAAGCACTCCCAGGATATGAAGTAAAAATAGGATTTTTTTTAGAAAAGTGTTTACTACATCTTATAGTTTTTGGTTCTCCTCGTCAAGATGTCTGTTCAACGTGCCTACAATTGACAGAATGTCTTAAACTGACTACTAATGTACCTGAAAAGCAAAAATTGCGTACAGAACATAATATTCATAGACTACAAGCAAAAGCCTTTTTCACCTTACTGAAAGATGAGAATCCTGAAATTCAGATTGTAAGTTTTGACTGCCAAAAAAAATCATACTAAGGTAGGTGACCCAAACTCAGACAGTGTCCTAAATTCAGACATATTTCTCTTTATTCAGTTAAAATAAGAAATTTAAAACATCAAGATATATTTTAAAGACATCTGTTGGTACAATTTAACATTAATTATTTCACTCAAAATTCGTTTTCTACCTTACCGACTCTTTAACGGTCAGTACATAACCTAATAGTTGGACAGTTCTTGAAAGTTGTGTGTTGTGTTCATCTGAAAAGAATTTCTAGTAAGGTAAGTAGATTTTCACTATTATTTGCTTGACCATAAGACACCACTAATTGAAAAAATTGGAATAAACTTTGTTGCAGTTGGATATAAAGGCTTTAAATTTTCGTTTTAACATGGTTTTTTGTCAATTTAATTACAGAATTAAAAAAATTTAATAGTGTCGGAATTAGGTACAAGCAAATTTATGTATTTCGTAAATCAGACACTGTGTGTCGGAATTACGTACAAGAGATATGGATTGGATATGGTTCTATTTCTTTCTTTTCACTTAGATTAACATAAGTCTATACCGTTTTAAGCAGTAGAGTTCCTTTTAGAGCTTATATCCAAATTCCGACACAGCTGTCAGAGTTAGGGACTTTAACTGTCTGAATTATGTTCAATTTATGTATACGGATATTTTCTGTTATTTTTACATTTAGAAATCATTAGTCGAGTCATTAGCAATATTATTTATCATTGCAATCTGTGTTTTATTTACAGAATGTCGACGAAAAAAAATTGCAAATACAGCAAAGATGATTTAAGGCGTGCTTTGGATGCCATAAAAAATGGCACACCTTGTTTAGCTGCGGCGAAACAATATAACGTCCCGAGAACTACGCTTATTGGGAAGATCAAGGGTATTTATCCAGAAGAATGTCGTAGCGGAGCACCTTCAGTATTAACTGTAAATGAAGAAAACCTGCTAGTTCAATGGCTCATTAATATGGGGCGCATGGGTTTTCCTGTAACCAAAGATCAATTTCTCGACAGTGTTAGTCTTCTGATAAAAAATTTAAAGCGTTCTAACAATTTTACAGATGGAAGGCCAGGTCGTCACTGGTACGAATTATTTACTAAAAGACACCCTGACATTAGTGAACGAATAGCTCAAAACTTATGCGCATCTCGAGCAGCGGTAACTGAAAACAAAATCAGAAACTGGCATAAGGAAATTGAAGAATACTTTATTTCGAATAAAATTAATATTACTGATCCAAAAAGAATATTTAACACAGATGAATCTGCTTTTTTTCTATCACCAAAAGGTCGTAAGGTACTTGCTAAAAAAGGGAGCAAGTCACTTCATAATAGATCCGGTGATGACAAAGAATGCCTAACTGTTCTTATTACTGGTAATGCTGCTGGTCAACTAGCTCCACCCATGGTGATGTACGCATATGAAAGAATACCCAAGCATATAGTTTCACAAGTGCCTAAAGGTTGGGGGATTGGCAAGTCAACCAGTGGATGGATGACCTCCGAATCTTTTTTTGAATTTATAACAAACATTTTTTACCCCTGGCTTTTATCCGAAAGTATTGAGTTTCCAGTAATATTATACTTGGATGGGCATAAGTCACACGTGACGTTACCTCTGACAGACTTCTGCAGAGAAAAAGAAATAATCGTGATAAGCTTGTTGCCAAATTCCACACATATTCTACAACCTCTGGATGTGGGGTTGTTTAAATCATTAAAAATGAAATGGAAAAGTGAGGTACACAATTTTAAAACCCAAAATAATTACAAACATTTAAGCAAAGAGAACTGTGCCTCTGTTCTTCAAAATGCTCTAAAATCAATATCAAACTTGGAAAATATTTTAAAAAATTCTTTTAAAGTATGTGGTCTTTATCCTTTTAATGCTGATAATATCGACTATCATAAACTTCTTACGGAAGACAACAATGAGTTGAACAAAACTAAAGAAGCAATGGATCCTGAAATAGTGAGTCATTTGCGATATCTTGAATCTTATGTTCAGCCAGATTTTTTGAATAAATGTTATGAACTGATGGGTGCAGACTGGACAGGTGAAATTAAAGATAAGAGTTTGTATTATATTTGGTACAAAATGTACCAGAAATCTGGATTATCTCAGGATAAAGAAAAAACTCAAAACATTATAATAGATATAGAAGAAGGGCTAATTTTAGAAGATGGATGGGAAAATTTAGTTGAATTTGAAGCTGATAATACAATATCTGAAGACATTTTTGTTGAAGGTAAAAATACTGAAACCGAAGTAGAACTTGTCGGTCTTGAAGAAGATGCTAATAAAGAAAATATAATAGAAAATAAGAAAAGCATTGACGTAACAGCTAAGAAAGAAATTGACAAAGCAACAAAAACTAATGTGGTGAAAAAGAATATAGTAAAAATATTAGAAAACATTAAATTGACCCCGGAAAAACGAACTGATATGATTG